GGGGGGGGGGGGGGGGGGGGGGGGGTTCGAGATTTCCTCGAAGCAATCTTCCATCATTTTTGTGGAAAATTGTTATCTCTCGTCTGAGCTGAGCTGCCTTCTTTATTTAGGCTAGGCTTGTGGGAAGGGGTAAGATTACAAAGGGTAATCTAATTGACTTAAGGAACTTGTGGGAAGGGGTAAGATTACAAAGGGTAATCTAATTGACTTAAGGTAACAAAGACCTAATTTAGCTAAACTGACCTTAAAAAAGACCAAAGAACAAGAGTTAAGATAATTGCGAAGAGAGTCCTAGAATTCAATACATCATGATCCAAAGGGCGTTCAAGAAAAAGACCCTCAGCAACGCTGCTAACTTCCATCTTTTTTGAGTAAGGATTCTGGTCGAGGGCAACATCTTGGAGTAGATTTGATAAGCTGGCCCACTCACTAGCCTCTAGGTCTTTAAGGTTTCTTCTAAAATCAGCTTTCTACCTTCCAAGCTCCTCAGACCAACATTGATCAACAAAAAAGTTACTTGAATTTATAACTCTATGCCTTCTTTAAGAGATTATGTCAAAGGATTTTCAAGCAGTCATGGATCCGCCTACAACAAAATTCTGTCATCTTTACCAAGTTTTGTACCAATTATCCACCTGCAAGAATTCTTAACAATAGAAGGGCAAAGGATTCTAGAGCTTGAAGGACCCTAGGGCTTGCCAACCAACCCCTAGGACAAGATGGTACTTGCCAATAGTGGCTTTCCTCCAAGCATTTGCTTCTAACTTGAGCTTCCAATCTCATTAGAAGGACCAAGTTCCTCTTATTGACGTTGTCAACTCAACCCTGAGGTGCTTCTAGATTCAAGAGCAACTTAATAGTGTTGAAAATAGATTAGGCTGAGAAGGAAAACACATATAAAATACTTTATTTTATACCTTCTTAAGTCTTTAGACATACTTATAAGTGATAATTAATATTGTGAAATTAGAAATTTCACTGAGTTATTGTTTCAATATTATTTGTGTTCATTTTTCTTATGTAGATTTAGGGTTGAATTAAATGCATGTGTAATTTATATGTTTCTTTTGTCTTACATCATACTAAATATTTTACCCTTTAAACTTGTTCTTCAGGGGGGACGATGATTATATGCCTGGAAGTATAATTGAGATTGAGCTTCATAACTTTATGACCTTTAACCACTTGAAATGTAAACCAGGATCACGTCTAAACCTTGTAATTGGGCCCAATGGATCTGGTAAAAGCTCTATTGTATGTGCTATTGCCCTTGGCCTTGGTGGTGAGCCTCAGGTTGGTTAAATTTCAATTAATGTACTTGATACTTAACCCAAGGCAATCTTTTTCTAGTTTGTTCTTTAGTATAGATTGGTTGAAATCTTTCTTTCGCAGCTCCTTGGAAGGGCGACCAGTGTTGGAGCATATGTGAAGCGCGGGGAGGAGTCTGGTTATGTCAGAATAACCTTGAGAGGGAATACTAAAGAGGAGAATATTACAATTACACGTAAAATGGACACACACAACAAATCTGAGTGGTTGTTCAATGGTAAGGTATCCTGTATATGGTCCATGTCTTTGTTTCTTCAACCTTTCTAACCGATATTAGTTCGTTACTAATTTGAGGTTTTGAGCCTTGCGAGTCTAGAAATATCATTACTTGGTTATCTTAATTGGACTACAACTACAGCAGGAAATACCATGTTGTTTTATCTTTGAACATGTCATGCTTATGGTTTTTCTATTCATTTCCTTGGATAACGATACCTTTAAACAAAGGAACATGAGTTAAATGTCTTTTCCTTGCTTTGGAAATCCCTTGCACTTTCTGCTCAGTGTTTCACATGATATGGCCACCCCACCACTCATTACTGAATGCCTAATGGTTCTCTTTCTCAAGGATATTTCTTTGTGGGCTTTTCTAGAAATATAGATTTCTCTTATGTGGAAGCCTTTCTCTTACACACACCCACTCTTCCATGAAACATTTGTATAAGGTAGCTGTATACCTTTGAAAAGTTTAATTTATATTCCTTTCTTGGAGGGGCGAATAGTCAAGTTGTTCATACTTGTCTTGTAAAAAAGTTGTTCTTACTTGTCATATAAAAAGTTGTTCTTATTTTTCTTAAAAAAAGTTCTTCATTTTGGTTGTCCATCTCCAGGAAAAGTTGTGCCAAAAAAGGATGTAGCTGGAATCATTCAAAGTTTTAACATTCAAGTTAATAACTTGACTCAAGTGAGTAAAATTTAGCCAACTTTTATCTGAGGTATATGCTTGCATGCATGCATGTATGTACATTCCTGTGAATGCAATTGCTCTGTTCTGATTTATTTTCCCATTTCTCTTGTGGGAGAGGAGTTTAGTTTTTACCTCAGGACAGGGTTTGTGAGTTTGCCAAATTAACTCCCGTCCAACTTTTAGAAGAGACTGAAAAGGCAGTTGGCGATCCTCAACTTCCAATCCTACATCGTGTACTTGTTGAGAAAAGCCATGACATAAAAAATATAGAACGAGTAAGTTTAGACTAACTTATTTCTTGTAATTTCATTCCCCCCATGTAGAATTTTTATTATGTTTTTCAATTAAAAAGGAGAGAGAACAGAAGAACCTTCATGTACTTTTTTTTTTTTGAACAAGAACCTTCATGTATCTCTTTTTCATGTATCTTTTTGTAACTTGCTGTTCTTTTGGTTTTAGGCTGTTGAGAAAAATGGAGACACCCTAGATCAGCTAAAGGCATTAAATGTCGAGCAGGAGAAAGATGTTGAGCGTGTTCGTCAAAGAGAAGAACTTTTAAAAAAGGTTTAAATATTTTCCATTAACTTTTTCTTTTTATGTGTGCTTCCATGGACTGATGACCATAGCTATCTGTGTTCTGTCATTTGTAGGTTGAGTCCATGAAAAAGAAGCTGCCATGGCTGAAGTATGACATGAAAAAGGCTGAATACATGGAAGTTAAGGAAAAGGAAAAGGAGGCAAAAAAGAAGTTAGATGAAGCTGCAAATACTTTGAATGATTTAAAGGAGCCAATTGAGTATGATCACTTGGTTTAACTATTTTGATAATCATTTTTCTTACAAGATCAAGAGTTTGAGTTAACCTTTTTGAAAAATCCAATCAGTATTCTATAATTTTTTTTATTTTGCCCTTGTTACTTTAGTTTTTACGAATGTTTTGGTTTTGCTCCAAATGGGGATGGATTTCTTGTTGGAGTATTGCATCTTGTGCTGGTTGTACTTACATAGGATTAAGCTATTTCAATTAAAGAAATTTTGTTGCTGTGGATTAGATCGCTTCTTTTATGGTGGATAGGTATAGATAAGTATGTTAGGAATCACGACTCTCCACAATGGTATGATATTTTCCACTTTGAGCATAAGCTCTCATGGCTTTGCTTTGGGCTTCCTCAAAAGGCCTCGTACCAATGAAGATGTATTCCTTACTTATAAACTCATGATCATTCCCTAAATTAGCCAATATGGGACTCCCTCCCAACAATCCTCAACAATCCTCCCCTCGAACAAAGTACACTATAGAGCCTCCCCTAAGGCCTATGGAGCCCTTGAACAGCCTCCCCTCAATCGAGGCTCGATTCCTTCTCTGGAGTCCTTGAACAAAGTACACCTTTTGTTCGACACTTGAGTCACTTTTGACTATACCTTCGAGGCTCACAACTTCTTTGTTCGACATTTAAGGATTCTACTGATATGGATAAGTTAAGGGCATGATTCTTATACCATGTTAGGAATCACGATTCTCCACAATGGTATGATATTGTCCACTTTGAGCATAAGCTCTCATGGCTTTGCTTTGGGCTTCCCCAAAAAGCATCATACCAATGGAGATGTATTCCTTACTTATAAACTCATGATCATTCCTTAAATTAGCCAATGTGGGACTCCCTCCCAACAATCCTCGTCAAAGTATACATTTGATTATTCCTATAAGAAGTGAAGGAAGGATATTAATGGAGAAAAGTCATACCTTCGCTTTCTGTGGGAGTTTGTACCCCTAAACATTTATTCATTTTCATTATATAAATGAGAAGTTGTATCTTGTTAAAAAAAGAAAAGGAGCGAAGTTATACAAAAAAGTAGAGATGATATATCTCCATGCATGTCGATACTAGACATAATCTCTTTCAAGACCCTTTGGTTCCTCTCAAACCAGATCTTCAATAGGGTTTCCATCCCCATGTCAGACAAGGATTTTAGCCTGCCCGCAAAAAGGAACACCGTTGATAAGCCGAAGGAAGGCACCATCTCTCTTTTGGAAAACACCAACTGTGATTTTTTCTTTCTTTCTATACCAAATACCACTTGCAAAGGTGCTCTGAAGAAAGAGATGATGATGGTTCTCTGATTTTCTCCTACAAAAAACATAGCAACTAGGAGAGAAGGATAGATTGAGAAATTTCTTTTGCAGTAAACCGTAAATATCGAACTTCCCTTGAACAGCCACTCAAAGGAAAACCTTCCCCTTTTTGGGGATGGTAGGCTTCCAAATGATTTGAAATAGAACATCATCAAATGGGGCATGACAAGCCGTAAGAGTTGGGATAAGTGAGTTGGTTGTGCATTGTCCACTGCTTTGGAGAGTCCACCTCTTGGCATCCTCTTTTATAGAAGTTTGAAAACTGCCTACAAGTTCAATCAAATTGATCCATTCATTGTGTTCTTCGTCATTGAGGTTCTTCTAGAACGCTAGTTCCAACTATTCGTACTTTTTGACAAACACTTGCTCACAACTGCTCCGTTGGAGTTCATCACACTATATGGTCTAGGAAAAGAATTTGCTACTGTGGCCTCACCAACTCATAAGTCCTCCCAAAATAATGAAGAAGACACTTATTCAGAAGCTTTTAAACTGATTTTTCAAGATAATCAGCCAGAATTTCCTTCACAAAATTCTCTTTGGCTCTGGCTTTAAAGAGGATTATGTGGATGTTTTTATTGAATTGTGTAGGCACGAGAAAAACACATATTAAATGACCACAAACACCTTCCTACCTCTTATCTTGGTCTCCCTCGTGGCCATAATCTCAAGTGGGCATCGTTTTGGAACCCATTCTAGATAAGATCCAAAAAGGTCTCAACTTCCGAAAGAAGGTGTTCTTCTTCAAGCTGTAGATTGACTCTTATTCAAATTATTTTAAGTGGAATCTCAATCTACTTCAGCAAAGTGAGAGACATACCGTTTGGAGAATCTCCTTTTGAAGCCTCTCATGAATATTGGATACTTCTGTGCGGAAGAGATGGTAGGAAGATTTTGACCTTTTTTGAAAACCTTACCTTTCGGGATGTGTGCATTAACAAAGGTACCATAAATTTAGGGGTTGTAGAAATGAGTTTTGGAAACCTTACCTTGTTATCTCCACTATCTTCTATGTTAGCGGTTTGGTTTACTTTCAATTGGCTATTTCAGGAAACAAAGAAAGGAGAAGGCAAAGTTGGATGCGAAAACTAAGAAGTATAGCACTCTCATTAATAATAATCACAAGAAAAGGATGGAACTTCAGGAAACTGAAAATCATTTGGTATGTTAAAGTTTGTCGGTTTTTTTAATTCTTCTCCTATGTCTTGGGTTGTTCCAACATGTTTGCTTTGTTAGTAGGGGGTGCAAGTGCAAGGAAAATTGAAAGAAATGGAAGACTTGAGGAAACAAGAAGAATCTCGTCAACAGAGAATCTTACAAGCTAAAGAGGAACTTGAAGCTGCTGAATTGGAACTTCAGAATTTGCCTCCTTACAAACATCCCAAGGACGAGATTGTAAGTTATATTTGTATATATGTTTCCCTTTAATTGTAACTTTTCAAATTTTAATAAAAAGTTTGTCTCGACAAAAATGAAATAATTGAACCCGGGCCTATTTTAAGGTTTGATTTTTTGGTACTTATCATAAGGCAATCAAAGAGTTTGTTTTGGATGCATTATTTCTCTATATGTACCGGATAATGTAGTAAATAATTTTTTTATTACTTTTCTGCCTTGTATCTTTTCAACAAAAAAACAACTTTTTATTGATATGAGTAGGAAAAATTGTTCAAGGATACAGGTTCCAAATGGGAATGAAAAAGAAGCAAAGGAAACAAGAGAAAACAGAGAAGAACACATAGCGAGAAAAAACGAGAACAACAAACTTCAAAATAAATTGTTTATGGTTGTTATAAAGTTTGTGGGTTTTTCTATTTTACTTTTTATCATGCTTCACCAGGAACGGTTGCGCGCTCAAATTTTGGAGCTGGAAGTTTCAGCAAGTCAGAAGAGACTTACGAAGTCAGAGATTGAAAAAAATATATCCCAAAAAAGAAATACTTTGAGGCAGTGCTTGGATAAGTACATATCAGAATATTTGATCCGTTGTCAATTCAGCTCTCTTTGGTGATTTATCATCTTACAGTCATGTTCCTCTTTCAGGTTAAAGGATATGGAGAATACTAATACAAAACTACTACAGGCATTGAGAAATTCTGGAACAGAGAAGATTTTTGAAGCTTATCACTGGCTTCAAGAACATCGCCATGAATTCAAGAAGGAGGTGTATGGTCCAGTGTTGCTAGAGGTTTGTATGTTAATACATAAAAGTTTTTTTTCTTGTTACTCACTACTTGATGCCATTTCCCCCTTCATTTTTGTTCTGAATTTTATCTTAGGTTAATGTGTCAAATCGGACTCATGCTGACTACTTAGAAGGTCATATCCCATCATATGCCTGGAAGGTACTCAATTGTTACGTTTATTAATATTATCGTTGTTACTGATGGATATCTTACTTTTTCTTGAACTATTCAAAGTACAAATGCGAGAGGGGATATGAGCTATCAATCAACTCACTTAAAAGCGGAGGGGGCTCATAGAAATTACTCCGATTGACATTAAATCAAGAGTTTTAATTACCAAAAGGTTGTGAAAGAGTTCCACAATTGGATTTTAAGAAGTTAACTTCTAAAACTCATTTAACTCATGGATCTTCTATGCACATATTAACTATTCTTGTGGGACAATCGTCTGACCCTCTACATTTAGTTGCCAAGGTAACTCTTAGGATGTTAAATCCTAAGTAGGTGGTCATTGTGGCTTCAATCTATTTCCTCCAAGTTACTATTTTCATCGACCCTTATTGACAATTCATGGAAATAGTTAATTTTTCTGAGATCTTGTTCTAAGATAATTTTTGATTTCAAATGGACTTCAATATTTTTGTTATTATTTCTTTTATGAGTAATAAAGATATTATAGAGAAATAGCCAAGCTGATCAACCTTTAAGGGAAAAGGGTTGACAAAGCCTTTCCCCGAAGAAACTATGTTATAAAAAGTCTTTCAATCATTAAGGATCATCTACAAATTGTTGGTGAAAATATTTTCCTAGGATTATAACACCACTAAGAAGAGAAGAACTATACACTACGACAAAAGGAACCAAACGGGGCTCCCTTTTCTTCAAAATCTCTGAAGTTTCTCTCCTTGGAAAGACCCAGAAGAAGAGTCCTAGGCACGCAATTCCATAATATTTTCGCAACCCCTTTGAAATTCCAGCCTGTCAAGACCTCCAAAAGCCAATCATCCACTAACTCGGGAAGATAGATCACCAGACCAAACTAATTTCAAAATGAAAGACCATTCTTCTTTGAGACACAAACAGCGCAAGGAGAATCTCCCAAGAAGCAAACTTTCTCTAAATCTTCACGTGGGAATTAATACTTTTGTGAGCAAGACATTAGAGAAAAATCTTCAACTTTTTGGGAATTTTTGTATCTCCAGATAGCTTAACGAAAAAGCCTTTCAGCATGGGAACAGTAGTAAGTTTGAGAAATGTAGATTTGGAAAAGAAGATATATGACGATACAAGATGCCAACTTTATCTTGCCCAGCCGCACAATGTCAATGCTGGCTAGAAGGCCCACATAACTGCCCATTTCTCTTTTAGTATTCTTCTTTTTAACAAAAAGCCCTCTTCTAAAGCCAACACCCAATCCTGATGTTTTTTGTTCCTACAATCTGCTATAAAAGTATGCCTCTCCGAGGAAAGATAGATTAAGTTAGAGAACAACTTAGCAAGAGGAATCATGTCAGTCTAAGCATCCTCACTCTTACTTGGAAACAAGTTCTTTGGTTGTTTGAGTCTCTAAAGTTCAAAAAATCTATGAGAAGGAACTTTTTTTTTGTTTTTTTTTTTGCCATATTGAACTGGAGTTATTCTTTCACCCTTTTAGGGAGGGAGAAAGGATCAGTTGCATCTGTCAACTTCATAAATGTGATCCTTTTCCAAAGGGCCTGAGTAAACCTGCAAAGCCATTTCAGGAGAAGGGCATTGTTTTATTGTTTACAGGAACCCACCCCCGAGGCCCCCCCACAGAACTTCACTTACCAGAGAGAGGACCAATCAAACAGATCATCTCCAACAAAGCAAGCTATTGTCCTTCTTCAAAAGGCCTTCTCTTCTTGAGCAAACCTTCAAAATTATTCTAGGAGAAGTGTATTGTTCCATTGCTTAAAGGAACCAACCTGAGTCCCCTCCACATGGACTTATACAAAATTTAGGATTCATTCCTCCATGATGTTCTGATTTTCCTTACTTGTGGTGGCAATTGCTTGATTTACAGTCCTTCATAACTCAAGATTCGGACGATCGTGACATAATGGTAAAAAACTTGGGTTCATTTGGCGTTCCCATCTTAAACTATGTGGGAGGTGAAAGGCGCACAAATCAGCATTTTGAGCTGTCTGAGGAGGTATTTGTCAAAGAAGTGATGATTGAAGTTTACATTTGCACTAGTTTCTAATGATGATGATATTGAATGAACAGGTTCGTGCATTTGGCATATATTCCCGGCTAGACCAAATTTTTGATGCTCCTGCAGCTGTAAAGGAGGTTTTGACCATGCAGTTTGGTTTGGAGCATTCAGTAATGCTTTCAAAACTCTGTCTAATATGGCGTTAATTTTATTGTTAAATCTGAAATCCAGCTTTATGAAATATGGGTAAAGCTTGTATCAGAAACGTTTTTTCCTTTTTACTTACTTTATAAATGTACTTCTTTCCTCTTTCCAGTATATTGGCTCAAAGGTAACTGATCAGAAGGCAGACGAGGTCTCAAAATTGGGAATTTTAGATTTTTGGACTCCAGATAATCATTATCGATGGTCTCGCTCTAGATACGGTGGTCATATGTCGGGAACTGTGGAACCAGTTGATCGCTCACGTCTTCTCTTGTGCAGTATGAATATCGAGAACTTTCCTTGAAATCTTTATAGAACCCTTGAAAGCTGTGAATTACATGACTTTGATTAACCTTTATTTACTTTTTAGACTTGGATGCGGGAGAAATTGATGGGCTTCGGTCCAGGAAAAATGAGCTAGAAGAATCTATTTCTGCGTTGGAAGAAAATTGTAAATCAAGTCAGACTGAACTAAGATTGATAGAGGATGAAGAAGCTAAACTTCGCAAACATCGGGTACATCCAAAATAATAAAAAAGATTAGTGTCTTCTTGTTGAACCTGGGTTATATAATGACCATCCTTGTGTGTGCTCCTCAAGTCCTTAATCATTTGAGATTGGGGTTTATGTATTATCTCGTGAATATACAAAAATTAACTCTAAAAAATTTGCAGGATGATATTTTAAATACTGTGCAACATGAGAAGAGAAAACGCCGTGAAATGGAAAATCGCATTGGTAAGTATTAATAGCTTTGTGTAATTTTGATTATTCATTTTGTGAATTAATATTCTTTTGGTAATCTAGATCAAAGAAAAAAGAAATTAGAATCTATGGAGCGGGAAGATGACTTAGATACTGTTGTGGCCAAGCTTGCCGACCAAGCTACAAATTTTAACGTTCAAAGGTTCAATTGTGCAATTGAAATTAAGGTTAAGTCTCACATTTTGAACCTTTTTATATTTGTATTAATATCTTTCTCATCATTTGTCAAATTTGTTCATGAATGCAGTTATAAATATATTTACATTCTAAAACTTGATATCTTTTATTGGCAGCATTTGCTTGTTGAGGCCGTTTCCTATAGACAGAACTTGACTAAGAGCCATATGTCCTCCATTGAAATTGAAGCAAAGGTAATTTGTCGGGAGAAGTTGCTGAAATTATATTTGATTACAACAATGCGTGCTAAGGATTTCAAGTGAACTTTTGTCTTCATTTCTCTTTCTATCTTCTAAATGGGATTCTATTGACATTCCGAAGTGTTTAATTTCCAGTTTTATTTTGTTCTTCTTCTGGAGATTATTGCTTCCCTAATATTTACTAGTTTCGTATGATTATATTTTTAGATCAGAGAATTGGAGGTAAATCTGAAGCAGCATGAAAAGTTTGCTCTGCAAGCGTCAGTGCAGTTTGAGTACTGTAAGTTATGCCCAAATTTCAGCAAATTTCTTCTGCCTGTTATAATATCTGAAAGATATGTAGAAATAACTTTTGGATGTTTCTATGTATAAACTGCATATATTCTGATTATTATACTATGTGTTTTATAAGTTACTTGTTGGCAATACATGAAACAGCTTCAACATTAGAAATGGTTTTCTTATAAACTATATGTATAGTGATTTTATCTTCAATCTTTCATTAAGTTGCTTTGCCTTTTCTTTTGGTTCTTTTCAAATGCATGAGACATTTAGCTCATAACTTTGCCTCCTTTTTTTGTCTCTCTCTCTTCATTTTGCTGATCCTTCTTTTTATTAATTACTCAATCCTTGTTCCAGGCAAGAAGGAAGTCGAGGACTATCGACAGCAACTCTCAGTTGCCAAGAAGTATGCAGAATCTATTGCTGTGATCACACCTGACCTTGAGAAGGAATTTCTTGAGGTTTGCTGAGTTCTTATTGAAACGTAATTTTTCTTTGGTTTGTTGTGGTTCGAGTGATGACTGATAAGGTCTGGTGTATTGCAGACAAATTTATGCTGTAGTAGATTACATTGAGCTTTTACTGTTTCTATAAACATGCCCTTTTATTTATATTTGGTTCTTTTGAATTATAGTTGCATTGTCCGTGATGATATGAAATGAATAAAGAAACAAAACCATAGAAGTTACAAAAAAGCGCCAAGGAATATTTATTTTTGGGCTTTGGTGACAAGACCTTCATGCAATTACTTTTGTAGTCTTATGTGATTCATCTAATAAAAGAAAAAGAAAAGTGACAAGGTGTATAATTGTACATCACACTTCTTGTTCTAGAATGATGGATTTCTTGCTACACATTGAGATTTTGATAATCTTCTTGAACACATCTTATTCCAGGTGAGGAATGTTGGTTTGAAAAGAGATTGGAGAGTAGGGCAGGCTTGGATTAAAAACTTATATACTGCCATTCTTTGTCTAGAATCCCCCAAACCCCTGTATTCCGTGATATGGTTTTCATTGCTCCTTTCACCAGTCCACCTTGATGTATATTTTGAAGAACAAAGAAATGAATAAGTCTTCCTTTCCGAATATATAATCTATGCCACATGATTCATCTCTTCTTTCAAAAAAGTTTGAAGGCTGTCTCACCTTGGAAGAGTTGCGCTGACTTTCAAAATTTTGATCCCTTCCCTTTGCACGTCTTCTTTTGTAATCATTAATGATTGCTGTCTATCAGATCTTTGGATTGGCCTAGGCCCCTCAAACTTATCTTTCCTTCCATTTCCTCTATTGCGAACTCAAAACTTCTCGGTGCAAGATTGTTGGAATGGGGCTACCCTTGCTTGATTAGTTTGTACTAAAAACAGTATCTTGAGAATGATTTGTTTCATTTTTTGTGTAGATGCCTACTACAATTGAAGAATTGGAAGCTGCTATTCAAGATAATATTTCTCAGGCTAATTCCATTCTGTTCTTAAACCATAATGTGCTTGAGGAATACGAACATCGTCAGCGTCAGGTAAGGTTGTCTTATTATCAATTTTTTGGTTGCTTGTGCATGCTGAGTATGTTTATGCTGTTCCATTACAGATAAATACCATTGCAAGAAAACTAGAAGCTGATAAACATGAACTAAGGAAGTGTATGGCTGAAGTTGATGAGCTGAAGGTATAGATCATTTCATTTTGTGTAATAGCTAAGTTTATGTTATACTTGTTTGGATTATATGATTATATACCATTGCACGACATGAGCTGGTTAATCTAGACCAACTAAATGATCCAATTATTCTTGCTTTTCGGAGAAACTATCAATATCATCTGGTGATAGTCGGCTGTGCAAAAGAAGGCCATGGTGTGATCATAGTCATAAACTAGGACATGCTAAAGACATTACTTGGAAAATACATGGAAAACCAGAATATTGGAAGCCAAATACTGGCAATTCAGAACGAGAAACTAGGGGCAATGCTGCTCTCTGAAAAACCAACCACCGCTTACCAAAAATTTGTTGTACATTTACTTAATGACTTAATAGTACATGTGGATGATATTGTTTTCACAGGACATGTTCTTGACAAAATGATTAACATCTCCTCTCAAAGAGATTTGAGATCAAAGACTTGGAAAATCCAGGATACTTGCTAGCAATTGGAGTAGCAAGATCTAGCAAAGGATTTATGTCACTCAATGAAAATAAACTATAGATCTCTTAAGGGATGAATGGTTGCAAACAAGTGATATATCCATGGACGTGAACTCAAAACTTGGAGTTAATCCTGAAGATGAACTAGTTGATCAAGGCAGGTATCGATGACTAGTCGGAAAGCTAATATACTTGACTCACAATTGACCGGACTTTAGCTTTGCCGAAAGCATGGTGAGTCAATTTTTGAACAAACCCTCTAAAGAACATATGGAAGGTGTGTATAGAATATTAAGATGTCTCAAGCATGATCCCGGAAAGGGCCTCATTTTCAAAAAGACTACAAACCAATCTCTAGAAGTTTACACTGATGCAGATTGTGTTGGATCTCCTGTTGATCGCAAGTCAACGTCAGGATATTGTTCTTATGTATGGGAAAACTTAGTAACCTGGCTCATCAAGAAGCAATAAGTTGTACCCCAAAGTAGTTTCTGAAGCCGAGGATCATTAACCCATGGGATTTATGAAGGAATTTGGCTAAAATGCCTTCTCGCTGAACTCAAGGTTGAAGGTACTATTGAAGTACTTGTGATTATCAATCTGCATAGCCATTATAAGAAATGTGATACATCATCTTTGAATGAAACATGCTGAGATAAATCGTCACTTCATCCATAAGAAGATTGAAACAAATACAAACGGATTTGAGATATTTGCCTTCCCAACAACTAGTTTATGACATATTCACTAAGGCTTTTCATCGAACCAATCTTGGTGGATTAATTTTCAAGCATGTAATGACACTAGTATCTACCATCCAGCTTGAGGTTGATTGAGAAATATCTCGTATAGATGTGAGGGTTTCCTCACCATTCAATGAAAGAAAAAACGTTTCTCCCATACATAGCTTTGGAACCTTTTTTATTGTATGTGTGCTGGTGGTAGCGAGCGTGTTTTTATGGTTTGTTACTTCCTTTGTGGTTTAGCAAACAGTCATGTGATATGCATATTTCCCGATGCTTTTTAACTATTTGTGAACTATCATGGTAATATTACAAATATTATTTGCAGGGAAATTGGCTCCCAACTTTAAGAAAACTTGTTTCTCAGATAAATGAGACTTTTAGTCGCAATTTTCAAGAGATGGCTGTTGCTGGAGAAGTGTTATTGGGTACTGAATTTTAATGATCTGAAAATTTACTTCCTATGGGGTCTCTTCTTCCTTATTCTTAATTTCCTTGCGATGGTTTTTTTCCCTCTTAGATGAGCATGATATGGACTTCGATCAATATGGGATTCTTATTAAAGTGAAGTTCAGGTGAACTTAGCTTTTGATACCCACTTTAAGATCTAAATATATGTATATTTTTTGTGCTTGAATACTGTTTTTGGTCAAATGTATCTGAATTATAGAGACTGTCATGTCACTGGCATTGGTTGATTAAGATATATTTTCAAATCATTGTTACTTCCGGAATAGTTACCAAGACATTTCACTTTGTATCCTTTTTTAATGATTTTCAAGTATTGTGGTCTTACCTTGTTGTATCACTCTGAATTAAGTGTTGGCGGTCTTCAACTTTTCACTTCATTTCTAGGTTCAACATGACTCAATCTTACTGCCTGAAAATTCGTTCTTTTGCAAGTATTCCAATATATTGTTATGAACTTCCACATTACTGGATATCATTACTATCCACCCAATCTTACCTAAAAGAAGCATCTTGTTCCAAATGTTTGACATGTTCTATCAAAAGTTGCGAGAACGAAACTAATAGAAAAGCAATACATTCATTCAATCCCGGTTCCTGAAGAGTAGACAAATAAAGGAAAGTTTTCCTTTTTGGACAAGGAACCTCACTGGAAACCAAAAATGATATGTAATACAAGATATTTCGGTTCAACTTGAGTTTTTGTGTTTAGGTTTGATTAAATGGCAGTATACTGAGTGCATCTCAGGAATGGTGGCCGTATTGCTAGGAGTTGTATACTACAATCGAGTATTTTGTGCATTTACCTTTCAATAGACTTTCCAGTCTATTGTTGCCCTCAATTCCTCTGTTCAGTCTCTACATATTTATGATAATATTGTTGCTATGTTTACTTATTACATTTCTTATTTCTTGAAATGCCATTAACAGACAAGCAGGTCAGCTTCAGGTTCTCAGTGCACATCATCAGTCGGGAGGGGTATTACAGCTCGTCGCAATCTTCTTTTCTTGATTAGTACGAGGTAACTGTTTCATAATGCTTTTGATTTTTTATTTGCTAGGAACGCTCGGTGTCGACAATCTTGTATCTTGTTTCCCTTCAAGACCTTACCAACTGCCCATTTAGAGTAGTTGACGAGATAAACCAAGGTAAGTAACTATACGAATTTCTTCTACTGGCACAAACAAGTTCTGTTAAATAATTTTGCCTATTGTCTTTTGATAGGAATGGATCCCATAAATGAACGGAAGATGTTCCAGCAGTTGGTGAGAGCTGCCAGCCAAACAAATACACCACAGTGAGTACCTATTACTCTTCAACCCTCATGGTTTTTTAGTCTCTGGTTGAGCAGTCTATGCTGAGTTATTTCTTTCCGTTGGGATATGGAGCCTCATGCCTATTTATAGTAAAGATCCAGTAGAGATATATATGGTAGGATATATTGGTAGAAATATATATGGTAAGATATATCGTAAAATCTGGTAGATATTTCGTAAAGAGAAATATGTGGTAGATATTTCGTAAAGATCGGATAGAGATATATATGACAGATATTTCGTAAAGATCAGATAGAGATATATTTTGCAAAGATTTAGTAAAGCTATATGTAGTAAACTGAAAAATGTAATTTATTCATTCTCTGTATTCATCTTGATGAGTGTGTGTGTGAACCTAACACTTTCTACTCATTAAAAAAGTTTTTTTATGTTTTTAATGTTCTGACCATATAGAAAGATTTTTGTTATAGAAAAAAACAGTTTAGAAATCTATCTGCATATAGCTCCTGAAATAAATTCAGTGAACCAAAAATTGTAGCTTTGTAATAATGATTTCAGGTGCTTCCTACTCACTCCAAAGTTACTTCCAGAACTGGAATATAGTGGGGCCTGTAGTATACTGAATATAATGAATGGTCCTTGGATCGAGCAGCCCTCGAGAGGTTTTCTTCTTTTCCCATTGCCTTTTTTCTCGAGTAACATCGATTACGATCAACAACCCATTTCGTAAAACTTTTGTACTGCAGCATGGAGCAATGGAGATAGCTGGGGAACATTAATGAACTACGTTGGAGCAAGCCGATGTTGATCGACGATTAGCGGATTGCAACGCTGAGGAAGACAATGTTCGATTACAGAGTCCTTTCTATGAAGTTAGCTGTCCTTTCTCCTATCAAATGGCTGCTAGTCCTTAAACGACTGTGATTTATTTATGTTTTTATTTTGTATAGCTGAATTATGCCTTCTTAAATTCATCTGTAAAGCTTTCCATCATATTTAGCAAATGAGGGATGCTATAACTAATGGCAGGGTTCTTGAGATAATTATATTTATATTTTTAAGTATTTAGAAAGTCTAAATCTAGACCATTTGTCGGTTGGAGATTCCACGTCGGTTGAGGAAGAGAACAAAACATTTTTATAAAGGTGTGCAAATCTCTCCTAGCAGGCGTTTAAAAAAAAAGAAAACCTGGAAGGAAAGCTCAAAAGAGAAAGTCTAGAAAACAATATTTGTTAGTGGTGGACTTGGACAGTTACAAATAGTATCAGAGTCAAGCATCAGGTGATGTGCCAACAAAAATAAGTTAAACCCTGAAAGAAGTAAGTTAAACCCTGAAAGAAGTGTACACGTGATGGTGTTCTAGCAAAAGGACACCGACCTTGATTGTGTTTCCGCTTGCATTTTGCACGCATTTTGAACTTTTATCCAATTGACATGAACTAACATAAAAAAAAAAAAAAAAGCTATAACCATATTTTTCCATAACAAAAAACTAACATAAACTAAAAAATTGAGAAATAAACAATAATCAGATGAGGTGAAAATGATTGATTCTGAGCTACTTTTGAATCAGTTCAGAAACAAATGAATATGCAGTTTCCAAGTTTCAAATTCTTTATTGAGATACCATACCAACTCTGTTAACGATCTTAACGAAATCTTCGGCCGCTGAAGACGATTCGAAAGGCGTATGCACGAGGGCTAATATTAAACAAATTGAAGAAGAAGACATTTACAGTTGTAGACTAAAATTCTTCAAGCATTTGATGATGGGATCTTGTAATCAAGCATTTCCCTTATGTTTAATCGAATCGAAGGCCCCATCGACGAGCATATATGCGCGCTCTTCCAGTATACTCCTTTAGCACCTGTTGGCTTGTTTACCTCCACTGATTTCTGTTAGATGAATGTGAAGAATCATCAATATGGTGAAGACTAATAACTTCTTCGAAACCAATGGAGTTTTTGAGAATTCGAGATTAGGAAAGAACATACTATTGCAGCAAGCAAGTTCACGAGGAGGTCATCTTCCGAAAAGTCTGCCTTCCCGAAAGGTAAGTGAACAATCCCGGTTTTATCCGCTCGGAATTCGACTTTTCCCTGCTTGAATTCTGCTATAGCCTGAAACAGGACAAAGCTATTATGAACAATTTTATTCTCAAATTGTGATGCATACATGTGTAGATAGATGAATCTGACCTATACCTGAGGTATATTTGTCGTAACGGTGCCAGCTTTTGGGTTCGGCATCAGTCCTCGAGGTCCTAGAAGCTTACCTAGACTAGCAACCTGATGCAAACAGAGAGGACGGGGTTAACAGATTAATTGGTCGTTTATAGTTGCCACAAAACTAAGATATCTCGAAGTCCACACCGACTCCGAAAGTGTATACCGAAACAATTCACACATAAATCTATGGCATGAACACAACACCGTATCTTAGCTTAATTTCGGTCGTAGCTAGTAGCCAAGAATACTTTTCGTATAAGCATGAAACGAAAAATTATTAGTTGCATACAAGAAAATTGGAATCACGTGTTCGGTGATCGATTTCAGATTACATGGGAACGTATACTTTTTGGAAAGCCACCACAGTGTATGATTGAAAAAAGATAAAGAAATTGTACCTTGGGCATCATATCTGGTGAAGCAATTAGCTTATCAAATTCCATGAAACCTCCTTTGATCTGTTCTATCAAATCCTCACCGCCAACCAAATCAGCTCCTGCGTTTTTCGCTTCGTCGAATTTTTCACCTACATGATTCACGAAGCAATAAGATAATAAGAAATGAGTGAAAAATTTTGTTGAAAAAGCGACGCAGCATATGACCAAAATAAGCTGAATCTCGAAATTCATAGATGACAAGAACGATGGGAATAGATAGAGAGAATCCATATCTAGAAGGAAAAATGAATTCAGAAAGCCATAGCTCGAAGCGTTCGTCTCATCAAACCGACTTATCAGTATTAGCCTAGGACTATGAAGATTAAATCAAGAACAAAAGTAGGAGATTTGCTCATAAATTATGAAGAGGAATTCATATAAACAACCCCATGATAGTTAAAGCAATCTCACTAACAGAGCCGTTTTGTAATGGCTCAAGCCCACTGCTAGCAAATATTGTCCTCTTTCAGCTTTCCCTTTCAGGGTTCTCGTCAAGGTTTTTAAAACGCGTCTACTAAGGAGAGGTTTCTACACCCTAATAAAGAACGCTTCGTTCTCCTCCCTAACCGATGTGGGATCTCACACGTTTTCAATCAAGCAAGCAAACCTCCCTTTCAATTCGAGGATTCTCCACCACAAACCATAAGATTCACAAACACTGAAGACGATAATACCTGTGTTCGTACAATAGCTACTTCAAACTATTAATATCCTTTCCACAATGCTCTCTCAATAAGGAAACAACAATTCTTCACAAGGTAAAAAAAACGAAACGAGAACTCGTTGATTACTTCTACCGTTGAATGAAAATATTGTTTAAGTTAAATTTAGTGATTACCTTGAGTAAGCACAGCTACCTTGACTGTCTGTCCAGTTCCCTTGGGAAGATTTACCTATGTAAAAAGTGAAAATTGGTGATTTAGGACATAGATATAGTAGAACCAAAAGAAACTTACTGTTGCTCTCAGCTGTTGATCGTTATATTTGGGATCGATGTTTAATCGGAAGTGGGCTTCGGCGGTTTCCACGAATTTCGTCTTAGACGTTTGTTTCAACAAAGATATTGCTGTTTTCAGGTCATACTCCTTTTTACTTTCCCTCAATTTTTGAATTTCCAGGAACCTCTTTGATCTGGTCTGCATGTTTTCAGAACACAATTTCATGTTAAAGCTGATGCAACAGTAATAAGAGAAGGTGGAAAATACATATTTTGAAAGAACAAAGCTTACAATATGTACTAAAGTAATGCACACATCATTTATGGACCTCTTTTTAAATATACGGTCGGGTCGGGTTCAAAATATGTAACGGCCCAAACCCACCGCTAGCAATATTGTCCTCTTTAGGTTTTCCCTTCCGGGCTTTTCCTCAAGGTTTTTAAAACGTGTCTGCTAGTGAAAGGTTTCAACACCCTTATAAAGAATGCTTCATTCCCCTCTCCAACCGATGTGGGATCTCACAATCCACCCTCTTTCGGGGCCCAACTGATGTGGGGTCTCACAATCCACCCCTCTTTGAGGCCTAGCATCCACGATGGCACTCGTCCCTCTCTCCAATCGATGTGGGGTCTCACCATACACTCCATTTCGGGGCCCAGTGTCCTTGTTAGCACTCGTTCTTCTCTTCAATCGACGAGGGATCTCACATAATAGAACTTCGAAGAAAATAAGAGCCGATGCTACAAAGAACAAAATAAAGAAACAGAACTAGACCGCCCAATTGCTAGAGTTTTCTTTCCACCTCAAATGGCTCGCAGTCAACTAATGAAGCCATAATTGGAAACAGACATGATAGGAACAATCACTTCTAGAAGTTCATGAAACTAGAAAGAACAAACAATCCAACAGAGATTTTAACCAGAGGTTGAACAAAAATGAACATTCCACTACTTACATAAGCCTTATGGTAACAGTAGAAAGTAAAGAATCAATGAACAGAGGAATAACAAACTAAGAACGCATGTACAAAACTTTTTACAGCCAAACAAACACCAAAACCATATCCAAAAAGGCAGTCAACGAGATTAAAAACAGCCAAATACATGAACGTAGCTCAAGCTTACCCTGTCCCTCTTAAGAGGCAATGCAGCCTTTCCCCTCTTAATCTTGGGCGCAATTGAAGCAGCTAATCCATCATTCTCCTCTCCATTCTCATCCACAACCTCAGCCACTTCAATTTCCGCAGCTAAAGCAGCCACAACCAAATGAACCCTAGATTCTCTTCTAAAATTAAGGTCGACCCAATTGATAGACCTCCCTCCCCTGCGCTGCAGAGTTAAGGGGTGGCATAAAGAGAAGATGTGGGCGGTGGAAGAGGCAGCAATCGGCCTGACGGCGAAAAGGGAAGAAAGGTCCAGAGGATGCACTGAAGAAGTGCGGGCCATGGCAAGGGGTGAGGGCACAGTGGGGCTATAACCGGCCATTGCCATGGAGGAAGAAAGAGCTCAGTCCGTCGATCAAAGAAGAAGAAGAGGTTTCTGGGAGTCTATCAACAAAGAAATGGAAGAGATAAGAGAGGCTCTGTATTGGATGTTTCGCGCAGTCATCAATACAAAGCGGTGAAATTCTTTTCCCTTTGGATAAATTTTAATTTTAAACTTACAAAAATAGGTGAAAGTATTTAGTAAATAAATATTAAATTTTTATAGTTTAGATATAATGAACACAATAAACATGTTATTTTAATTATTTTTATGTTCATATTAATGTCTAATTTATCATTAGATAATTATTAAAACATTTATATGATTTAAGTTGAAAATTAAAATCTAAATTAATTTCTAAAAGGAAAATTGATCAAAATTTTATCATAAATTGATATAATTTGAGTTTTTAAAAGTTGTTATTTATGTAATTTTAAACCTGTAAATTGAAAATATATATATATTAGATAAATTAATAATAAAAAATATGTTTTATCAATACTAAGAGTAAAAGTAATTCAAGCACTAAATTTCAAACTCCAATGTCATTTGTTGTGATGTCCCAGGCTCTGAAGGGGTGGATTGTAACGTTCCACATTGGTTGAAAAGGAGAACAAACCACTTAATGGGTGCGGAAACCTTCCCCTAGCAGGTGCGGTTTAAAACTTTGAGAGAACGCCCAAAGAGGACAATATTTGCTAGCGGTGGATCTGAGTCATTACAAATGGTATCAGAGCCAGACATCGGACGATGTGCCAACCTTCTCGTTATTCCCCAAAGGGGGTAGACACGAGGCGGTGTGCCAGTAAGGACGCTGGGCCCCAAAGGTGGTGGATTTGAGGGCGGTCCCACATCGATTGGAGGAAGAAAAGAGTGCTAGCGAGGACATTAAGGCTCGAAGGGGGTGGATTGTGATGTCTCATATTGGTTGGGAGGAGAACAAACCACCATTTATAAGGGTGTGGAAACCTTCCTCAAGCAGACAACTTTCGAGGGAAAACCCGAAAGGGAAAGCCTAAAGAAGACAATGTCTACTGGTGACGGGGTAGATCTGGGTCGTTACATTTGTAACCGTCCAAGTTCGCCGCTTACATATATTTTTAAGAAAATAGGATTACTTTTTATATTATTTATTAAAAAAAATTATCAATTAAATTTTTACTGAAAATTTTGAAATGTTCCAATGGTCAAGATTGTAATTTTGGCGGAGACCATATAAAAAGAAAGAAAGATAGAAGCGCAGGTTTATCTCATAAACCCTAACCCTGCTTTGCAGAAAATTTTTGGAGGAAGATGACGCAGAAAGCAACCCTATTCAAAGGTCAACAGAAGAGGAAAACAATTCCTCCCAATCGCCATGGAAAAATCCCCCAAACTCGTAAAGGTATCTCTCTGTTCTTTTCCCTCCTTCTTATGCTAAATTTACGCGTAAAAATTACGATTTCTCCTCCTCCGTACTCACTGGGCGTTGTCTTTCCAGGGAAAAGAGTTGTGAAGCCATCAAAGACAACTAAAGAGATGGAAACAGATCGGGTATGTGTTATCTTTTCGTGTTTGTCCGGTAATTTATATGGAATCTAGTAACTGTGAGAGTAGAAACTTATGTTGATAAGTTGTTTTGTTGATGCTTTGTATTTTTAATGTTTCAAATACGAATTTCTTGCTTAATGTTGCATCGCCTTGTTAGTTTGCAATTCGTGTGAACTATTAATCATCCATTGTTTTGGTTAGATGAGAACATTTCTGAATTTTCTTGCCTTCTTATTTCCGAGAATGGATTTTGTGCGTGATTCTTAAGGCCTTTTCTCTTGGCTGAACTTGGTAGTTTCCCAGTTCTTTCAAATTCTACTGTGACATCTCGTAATGTGACTGCAGACTTTTTTGTTTCTACTTCTGCTGCATATATGCATCCATTCACATAATATTGGCCGTGATGAGTATCATCTCTTTGATTATGTTGGTAGCCGTTTGTGAGAAACTTTTCATGGCGAAGGAAAATTTGAAAAGTTTAAGTAAGGGGAAAGGAAGCTTCTCAACTTCACTCTCTAAGAATATGTTTCACCATAAAAAATTTATTTAGAAGCCCATCCAACCAATTATTGTCTACACTGCATCGCTTTGGAAGGATTGGATGAATGCAGAGAAGCAGGTTTCTCCTTTTTTAGGAATGATCTCTTGTGCAAAGATAGGATATCCATTTTTCGTTTGACAGAAAGAAAGTTGAAAAGTTAAGAAGCATTGTGCAAGGCCAAAGAGAGGATAGTTTTGGGTTTGAATAAATCATTCATTTCTAAATTATGAGATATTTGGTTGGTAGACCGAGATTTTATACTGCAGAAATGCTTTTGGGCTTTTGAAAGGAGAGGAGATGAGTAGTATTCTTGATTTGAGCGAAGTCATTTTTGTATATGCCTTTGAAATTTTCTTTGTATGAATTAGTTTTTTTTTCTTTTATCTGGTAATGGGACATTTGGAAAAGTGTCAAGCCTATATTTCCCTTTGCCCTATCTATCGATGACCATAAGCGAGGGAAACATAGTGGTCATGTTTGTGCTTGCCTTTTGTTTCTCTTGTACCTTTCTTTGTGTAAGGCTCCTCCTTTCAAGAGGAAGTATAAATTTCCTTGAACTAATATTAAATTTCGTAGTATGTGGGAGTAGTTAATTCTTAATAAAGAAAAAGAAAAATCTTGTGCAACTCCTTGGTTGTCACCCCTCTTCAAACTAGTCAATATTAATGGAAGGTTTCGTTTCTTATCATACTAAGTTCTTTTCTGGTAACGGCTCAGGCCCATCGTTAGCATATATTGTCGTCTTTGGACTTTCCCATTTGGGCTTCCCCTCAAGGCTTTAAAACACGTCTTCTAGGGAAAGGTTTCTACACTCTTATAAATGTGTATTTCATTCTCCTCCCCAACCAACGTGGGATATCTAATTTCCTATTTTAAAGTTGAGACTAGTATAGAATGGCTATAATGTTTGGGTGTATTCTTCTTCCTTGAAATGCTTTTTTGTTGGAAATCTATAGACTGTGCCGATAATTGTTCGCGTATTGGAATCACAAGCTTTAGATTACTTTTGCCGTTATATGTGGAGAATTTACGTAGTTCTATGAAAAAAAAAAAAACAGGAATTGAGCAAGTTCATCAATTACTGCAACGAGACGAAGGCTGCTACATTAGCAAACAAGGAAGGTGGGCAGCTGAGTATTGTGAAAACGCCGTCGGATGCTGCTGGTAATAGTAATAATGCAGCAAAGAAGTAAAGGAGGAGGATTTAGATTTTTGTGAGAATAGTGTGAAATTATTTGTGATGTTATTTCTTTCCCTTTTATTTTTCCATCTATGTCTTCTAACGCTTTTCTCAATTTTGTCGGCAGTAATCGGTTACTAATATATATATAAATTTGTTTCTACTTTTGTAAAATTAGCTTATGTGATTTCTCCGTGCTTTCTAGTCATTCCACTTTAGCTTATTCTGAAATCAAGAAATTAGCTTTTTAGGTCACCAGGAGAGGTCGAACTTCAAGAGATAGTACATGGCCTTTGTTCATTCATTTATCACACTTTAGCTTATTCTGAAATCACTTTAGCTTATTCTGAAATCAAGATATTGGCTTTTTAGGTCACTAGGAGATATCGAACTTCAAGAAATAGTAAATGGTCTTTGCACATTCATTTATCACACTTTAGCTTATTCTGAAATCAAGAAATTGGCTTTTTTGGTCACGAGGAGAGATCGAACTTCAAGAAATAGTAAATGATTCATTTATCACACTTTAGCTTATTCTGAAATCAAGAAATTGGCTTTTTTGGTCACGAGGAGAGATCGAACTTCAAGAAATAGTAAATGGTCTTTTGCTCCTTCATCTAATGATAAATCTAATTCAAATGAGGTATTAGTGGCTGTTGATGACGACTCGTAAGGTTGTAAATCTAATTCAAATGAGGTATTAGTGGCTGTTGATAATGACTGACATTTTTATATCTCAATTTTCACATATGTCAAAATTTCGGGAAAAAAAAAAGTTTGGTTAATAGTCCAGACAACCTGTCAATAGAAATAATATTAGATGCGATTAATTGAATAACACAAAGGATCATCACGCACATTCATGTACTCAAATAATGTAGTGGGTTCAAGCATGAAAATGTTCATGCAATTGGTTGCAGGCTAATCTCAAGTGTTTGGTTCAACTCAAAAAAACCTGTCCATGACAACAACTCAAAGATCTGGAAGGGGGAAAATGGGAGGGAGGTCAAGGGATCCCTACCCAGTTGAAGGACTAGGAAGATTCCATTAAGTGATTATAGAAGGCTATCATCTTATCATTCGATGAATGGTACGAAACAGTATTCTCCGAGTATGTGTTTCACATAACTATATACTTCTTTTGTGAGTGAATAAAAAAGGTTCACACAATATTCAGAGCATCTTCAATGTAAAAGTCTAAGCCCATCGTTAGTAGATATTGTCCGCTTTGACCCGTTACGTATCGTCGTTAGCCTCACAGTTTTTGAAACACGTCTACCAAGGAGAGGTTTCCACACTATAGAGTGCTTCGTTCCCCTCTCCAACCAATGTGGGATCTCACAATCCACCCCTTTTGGAAGCCAACGTTCCCAATGGCACACTACTTGGTGTCTAGCTCTTATACCATTGTAAGAGTCCAAGCTCATTGCTAGCAGACATTGTCCGTTTTGGCTCATTACATATCGTCGTCAGCCTCAAAGTTTTAAAACGCGTTTACTAAGGAGAGGTTCCACACCCTTAGAAGGAATGCTTCGTTTCCCTCCAATTGATGTGAGATCTCACGTTCAAGTACCCACTCTTCCCAAGAAATTTGTATCTCCCAGTTCTCAAATTCTAAACTACTCACTGAATACCTAATAATCCGGTAGAAACAAATCTTCCAAAAAATTCTCAACTTTCAGATCATTGTGAGGGGGCACAGAATGACACAGAAAAGTTCCCACTACCCCCAATCAACAGAAAAATGAATACAGAGACAACCAAATTCGAATGAAACAGAAATCTAATTGAATTTAATTAACTTCTTGTCAGGAACGTACATCTCTAAAATGTAAATGCATAGAAGTTTTCTAAAGCCAACCTAGTAAAACACCACTTTCTTCCCTTGAGTTTGAAGGTTCAAATCCTCTGTTGCACTCAAAAAAATATGTAGAAGTTTAAAGAACTATCAAACAATACTCTTTGCCACTCCGCTGCCATAGAAATGGAATACGTTAATGAATGCTACTTGCTTATGCCATTATACTACCCTCCATTGCTCATCATAAGATTAAGAATCAAACATACATCCAACCAATAAATAAATTCTCTCAAAGATAACACACATCTTGATTCACAATATACTAGAAAGAATCAAGAAGCATCCAAATTACCGGAGACTTAACTTATCCAACAGTAATTGAAGTGTTTGTCACCATCCACATAATTCCTAATAGAATTAGGAAAACTTTTGGGTGGCACGACCAGAAACATGCCCACTAGAGAGGAAAAGACAACCCAAAATCCAGAGACAAACAAGAGGTCTGCAACTTATAAGGACCCAGTTAACTATAGAGATGCACAAAACACAGATAGAACTATCACATAATCAAGAATAATCAAGATGGAAAGCACAAAACAGATTCTAAAAGATTCATGGCGTACTAAAAGCCAATGTAGTTTCTCAGGCAGGGTATTAATCAACAACTGCATCGGATAAGTACTCGCAAACAGTATAGTTTATCCACAATGCAGAATTTATAAATTCCAAACACAAACAATTTATCCATTAAAAATACCACTTCCCAAAAAACCAAAACCAAAAAATAGCCCCCACCTCATCCAGATTTCTCATTAACCTTAGAGTCTGATTTCGATGCATTGGCCTTAGACTCTGCTTTTATCTCAGCAACACTCCCAGAATCACCACCAGAACAACACCCACCACCGTGTTGATGCCCGTGCCCGTGCCCGTGGTGATGGTGGTGATGATGATGGTGGTGGTGGTGGTGATGACCAGTGCCATGAATTTGCTTCCCTTTAAGCTGCTTCCTCATATCATAAGCATCCTCACCATCCGCGTAGTACTTAGCCTCAATATCATGGATCTTATACCCCAAAGTCTCGGTATATAACTTGAAAGCAGCCCTGTTACTCTTCCTCACATGAAGGGAGACATATTCCGCTCCATAAACCTGTTCCATGGCGTTCTGAGCCGCGCTCATGAGCTTAGTAGCCAAACCGAGCTTCCGATGCGTTCGAAGCACGGCAAGGGAGGTAATATGGCCATGACACTCATTGCTTTCTTCCTCCATTTTAGCCAAAACGTAGCCGACGATCCGACTGTTGTAATCTTCGGCGACGTAAAGAAGCTGAGGCCAGGAAAGAATGTGATAGAAGTAGTATTTCATCTGGTAGTTCTCCGGAAGACAAAAAAGGTTGCAAGCTTGCATGGCCAGAAGGTCATCTATGGTTGCTTTGCGTATGCAGACCATGGCTGTGGCTGGTGATCGGAGAGAAAAATTAGGGTTAGGGTTGAAGACGGAGCAGCGGAGATTGAAATCGACGAAGAAGAGAGCACACACGGGAAGAATCAAATGAAAGCTGCTAAGGGTGCTTTGGGCACTTGCTCTTTGGGCCGTGGGCATTTGGGCCCAATACACCTTCTAGTCCATAAAATGAGTTAAATTACCATTTTAGTCCCCATTATATTATCATTATTATTTATTATTATTATTTTATCCTAATAAAAATTAACATGTTAAAAAACCCACTTACAAACTAAAATAGTACTATAATTTTAAAATATAGAAAATTTCATTTAAATAAGGTTGTTTACCGATTGAATTGGGTCAGGTTAAATGAACTCAGATTGTTTCACAACTCAATCCAACTCACCCCTCTAATTTTGGATTTGGCTGTCGGTTGTTGACAAGGACGAGGAGTTGTGTCTACAAGTGGCGCTTGTGTTTGATGGCGATGACAGGGCAAGCCACCATGTCTGTGAAGGGCATCTCGTTTGTTTCTAGCAACAATGGCAAGGGAAGGGCAAGGAGCATGGCTGATGGCATGGGTGAGGGCGATGGCTAGCGTTTGCAAGGGGCATCTCATCTACGTCAAGCAGCGACAACAAAGGAAGGGCAAGGAACGTGGCTGACGGCATAGGCGAGGGTGATGACTAAGAGCGAAGGGCTAAGTCTGTATCTAAAGAGATGAGACTTAACTTTTGTTCTCTCTCTGTACAATATTCGATCCATTTTAGTTTGGATTAATCCAAATCGACCCAAAACACGAAACTAGAATCGGTTTTGTTCAAGAAAATTAATCCAACCCAAAATGATATCTAACCCGATCCAATCCTCGATAACCATTAAAAATAAACATAATGAGTCGGGACCAAAAACATCTGTATATATTTCATAATAGATATTACATATGGGCATTGGAACGGCCAAATTAGAAATAGATTAATGGAAACTTAAAAATAGATATGAAAAAAAGTTTATGAAGAAGAAAAGGTTGAGAGAGGAGTGCCCTTAAGGAAGTGTGTGATAAGCACAAGGGCTCTTATTGGCTGAAAGCTTGGCACTTCATGACCTGCCCCTCTCACTGTTGCCAATGTCAACCCCCCTTCGTACTCTTCCGCATACCCTCCGACCTACAAATTCAACGTTCAAAATTAAAATCGGGATTAATTAAAACGATCTAAGCGAGGTTAAATCAAATACCCGTTTATTTTAATAAAGAAATAGTTACAAGAACGTACCTCATGTTGAACAAACCAAGGGTACCAAGATTTCTTCACAGGAAGCTTCATCGAGGCAATAGAGTATTTGCTGGACGTGATGGGTACTCTCCCATCAATGTCACCGCTGATATAAATATATTATTTAATTATAATAATAATAATTATTACTACTTTTTCAACAACTAATAATTAATATTAAATTACCTGAAAATCCAGACTCGTAAGCCATTGTCCATGAACTCTCGCAGTAGAGGAATAACGGTGGATGCGCTATCGGACCAGTTATTGATGACATTGCTACAAGGCGTCCACCTATATGCAAGCTTTGTTACGTTGGCGTGCATTGCCCTTTGAACCTCTGCTCGATTTAAGTATGCGTGCGTGTAGTAATCGGTGCATGGATCGTAGTTCATCACTGTTGCCTTCTTCGGTTGATCTGTCAAGCTTTTGTTTCCACATATTGGATAGTAGATGTTGTAGATGTCGATCATGTTTGTGTTGCCCTCAACTATTTTCATGGTTTTAATACATTTTAGATTCTGTGTCGTCGTGTTCGGCGAGAAGTTGCAATACTTCTTTATGTCTTTTGAAGTTCTATCGGCAATTAGTGCATGGGTAGCAAAGAAATCGTACATTCCGATTTCATCTGTCTCGTCGTTGATTACTGCGTTTCCAATCTGAAATCAATAAATAAGAAAAAAAAAACAAGGTCGGTGGTGTCAGCGAGCCTGTTTGAAATGACCATTAAAAAAAATAAAAAGTTAAAGTATTCTTCACAAAGAAGTCCGAAGAGACAAAGAGGTATACTTACAATAATACCCTTCAGGTTGACGATCGTCTTTCCAGCGTTCTTATTGTGTGAGAGAATAACGTGAGCCAGTTGAGGGACGTAATGACCTGCATAGCTTTCGCCGGAGATATAAAAATCTCGATCCTTATACTCTGGGAACCTCTCCAACCAATTCACCAAAAATGCATAGTTGTCGATTGCCGTACTCTTGTCTCCGTTGCTTTGGTAATCCGATGTAGTATTGGAGTACGAGAATCCCACTCCAGTCGGTGATTCCAAAAACAATACGTTTGCAACTAGCAAAATAATTTAAAGTATAAATGATTTTTTTAAAGAAATGACATAATTAATAATTAAATCTTGAATATCGATAAATACCCCGAGCCCATGAGAGGTCGTTTTGGAAGAGGGTTTTCCCGTCGCTACGAGCCCGGAAGGGACCGAGTTCAGCCATGGCTCCATAAGCAAGAGACGAACACCCAGGCCCTACGCAGCCAATCATTTATTAACACGTGTAATCTGATTTTACTTTAAAAATATTTTTAAAAATATCACTTAAATCCAGGTCGCCGGCCTACCTCCATTGAGCCATAGAAGAAGCGGCAACGAGGTCTTGTTTCGAGGAGATTCAACGAAGTAGTAATAGAAAGCACGGCCGGCGGTTTTGTTCACCGTCACATAGCCGCCGTACTGCGATAACGAAACCCTAGGCGGTTGTCCTGGCAGCCGTTCGATTTTGTCCTGCTGTTTCCGTCCGGTCTGATCGTGAATCTCAACCGTCGGCAAAACGTCGGTGATTTGATCCGCCACTTCGTTGCGGACGAAAAAACCGGAGGAATCGGCGGCGTTTGAGTTCCTGAAGAACTTCGCCTTGTAGAGAGCGTCAAGTGCTTCCTTCTGATTCTTGGCGGCGATTTGAATCTCAAAGAAGAAGAGGAAGAAACAGAGGAGAATCGAATGTCCGGCCGCCATTGAAGATCGTCGGTAGTCTCTGGTGAAATCGGAATGGAAACCGGAGTTAAATAATGGAAGAATTTGGGGATTTTTCCGAATTTCTAAATCCAGGCCGATGAGAATCTGTACAGTCTAAAAGATAACTAAAATGGAGAGTGAAGTCTTGAAGAATGGTTTGAAGGTTATGAACGTTGGGTTTGATAAGAACACTCAAAATGAAAATGACCCATTAATTTGTTGTGTCACCGCCAATCATGTTGCGCCATGTCACGCCGATTGAATTCGGATGATGTTAAAACGGAAATAAGGTGCCACGGTGACGGCCCTGCGTTTAAAAACCCATTTTATTCTTCCAATTTTTAAATGGAAGACAACAAATATAACTTTTTCTGGCCAATTCAAATTTTATTGCATTTCTAATTTTCCTTTTTCAAAAATATTACATTAATATAATTATAAAGAAGACAGAATTATATTCGTTTGCCTTCTATTTCTATTGATAATCTTTCATTTTTTACTTAAAAATAAAATTTAAATAATTCACCAATATTTTAATTAAAAAATGTTTCTATTAAAGAATATATCGAGAAAATATATGCAGAGTTATTTAAGACTCCGCTTAGTATGCATTTAGAAATGTCCTTCCATTTTACCCGTATGGAAAAATGAGGAGATTCAATGTCCTATCCATTTTACCCGTCTGGGAAAATGAGGAGATTCGCATTTAATCGGGGAATGGAAGAGGAGTGAAAAACATTTTTTACTATAAATGGGGCTAAAGACGGCCTTAATATAAATATATTTTCCACTCATATTTGACTGTATTAAAAAAAAAAAATAGTTACTTTTTAGACTTAATTTTAATGTTTAAACTAAATTTGCTCGTTTGAAAGTAAGTTTTATTAAGAATGAGATTCTCACCTAATCTCACCTACATGAGCCCGACCCACTTCTATCCATTTCAAGCTACCATAGCATGTTGGGAATAAGGGCAAATATACTAGATGTAACCACTTTTTTGGTTGGGCATTGTGTCGTCATGCCTTTACGATCAATACATAGTTAAGTAGGCCGATCATGAATGCTACTGATGTGGGAACGATCTTAGTCACGGAAAACTAAGACCGTGTCTCACATATGGATAGCAAAAGAGCACTTATGCCCCGACAATGGAGTAAAAACAAACATATTCTCGTACGTTGAAATAGAATAGCTTTATTTATTTCATTATATATTACATATTTGCGTTAGAACTAAATAAGAAGCGCCAAATTTACGATGGAGGTGGAGGTGATAGAGTTGGTAGAGGAGTCCGTGTGTGATAAGCGCAAGGGCTCTTTTTTGTTGGTAGCTTGCCACTTGATGACCTGCCCCTCTCACCGTCGCCAACATCAGCTCCCCTTCCTACACTTCGGCATACCCTCCGACCTACAAATTCAACGTCAAAATCGAAATCAGGATTAATTAGGACGATCTAATTGAAGTTAAATCAAATACTCGTTTATTTTAATAGAAATAAATAGAGTTACGAGAATGTACATCCTGATGAACGAATCAGGGGTACCAAGATTTCTTCACCGGAAGCTTCATTAAGGCGATAGAATTTTTTGTGGAAGTAATGGGTATTCTCCCGTCAGTGTCACCGTTGAAACCAATATAGTAGTTAATTATAATACTGATAATTATTACATTTTTCCAACGACTAATAATAATTATTAAATTACCTAAAAACTCATACTCGTAATCTGCTGTCCATGAGCTCCTGTAGTAGAGGAATAACCGTGGACGTACTAGACCAACGCATGATGACATTACTACAAGACTCCCATTTGTATGCAATCTTTGTCACGTTGGCGTGCATCGCCCTCTGAACATCTGCCTGGTTCAAGTAAGCGGATGTGTAGTAATCAATGCAAGGATCATAGTTCATCACTGTCGCTTTCCTTGGCTGATGTGTCAGGTTACTGTTCACACATGTTGGATAATAGATATTGTAAATGTCGATCGCATTCGTGTTGGTGGCCATTATTTTATATGCCGCTGAGCATTGCGGGCTCTGTACCATCACGTTTGGCCATAAGTGACAGTACTTCTTTATGTCGTTTGCAGTTCTATCAGCAATTAGTCCATGGGATACGAAGAAATCATACATTCCATATTGATTAGTTCGTTGATCACTGCATCTCCAATCTAAAATTAACAATAAGAAAAGAAATTCAATGACCATTTCAAAGGCATTTCCTTGTTCTTCGCATCCAAATTTAAAGGATTTTGAAGAAACTTGAGAGAGGTATACTTACAATAATACTCTTTAGGTTGACGATCGTCTTCCCAGCTTTCTTATTGTGTAAGAGAATGATCTAAGCTAGCTGAGGGACAAAGTCACCGGCGTAACTCTCATCAGAGATATAGAAATCTCGATCTTTATACTCTGGGAACCTCTCTAACCAATTCACCAAAAACGCTTAGTTGTCGTTTGCCGTATTCTTGTCTCCGTTGCCTATGTAATCAGACGTAGTATTGGAGTACGAGAATCCCACTCCGGCCCGCAATTCCAGAAACAATACATTTGCAACTAGCCAATTTTTTAAAATATAAACATTTTGAGGTATAATTAATAATTTCACCTTGAAAATCTATAAATATTTAAAAAATTCGTACTGTGAATCCATGAAAAGTTGTTGTAGAAGAGGGTTTTGCCATCGCTGCGAGCGGGGAAGGGACCGAGTTCAGCCATGGCTCCAAAAGCAAGAGACGAACACCTAGGCCCTACGCAACCAATCATTTATTAACACGTGTAATCTGATTTTACTTTAAAAATACAAATGTTTCATTTAAAATAATATTAAAAAGTTTCCGATGAATTAAAAGACTTAAATCCAGGTCGCCGGCGTACCTCCGTTGAGCCATAGAAGAAGCGGCAACGAGGTCTTGTTTTGAGGAGATTCAACGAAGTAGTAATAGAAAGCACGGCCGGCGGTTTTGTTCACCGTCACGTAGCCGCCGTACTGCGATAACGAAACCCTAGACGGTTGTCCTGGCAGCCGTTCGATTTTGTCCTGCTGCTTCAGTCCGGTGTGATCGTGAATCTCAACCGTCGGCAAATCGTCGGTGTTTTGATCCACTGCTTCGTTGCGGACGAGAAATTCGGAGGAATCGGCAGCGATTGAGTTCGTGAAGAACTTCGCTTTGAACAGAGCATCTAGGGCTTCCTGTTGGTTCTTAGCTGCTATTTGAAACGCAAAGAAGGAGACGAAGGAGAAACAGAGGAGAACTGAATGTCCGGCCGCCATTGCTATGGCGATTGCTGGACTTTATATATCTTGAAAATGGAAATGGGATGCCAGGCTGGCGGCCGTACAATTCCAAAACTCTTTTTATCCTTCCAAGTTTTTTAAATGGAAACTTATAAATTGAAAAATTAGTTTCCATGTAATACTTTTAATAATTATATATATATATACTTTTGTATTGATTAAGTTTATTTAAAAATAATTATAATACTACTTAAAATTATAAATTTGTAGTATAAGTATAAGCGTTTTTGTTGGGCTGGGTCGAGTTGAGATTGTTTATAACTAGAGATACCCACGGTATGGGTACTCGAAGCCTTCTTGTCCTCATTTATATTCTCTTTTTCATTTTTCGTATCTATGAAATTTTCACTTTATTTTTGCAAACATTCAAGCAGGAATGTAAGAGGAACACGTTCTCCATTATAAGTATTAGTATTAGATGGAAAAAATGTTACAAAGATTGAGATGGAGGAGTAGCGGTTGGGAGACGAGTCCCTTGAAGGAAGTGTGTGATAAGTGCAAGGGCTCTTCTTGGTTGGAAGCTTGGCACTTCATGACCCGCTCCTCTCACCGTCGCCAATGTCAACTCGCCTTCATACACTTCCGCGTACCCTCCAACCTACAAATTCATGTCAAAATCGAAATCGGGATTAATTAGAACGAGCTAGGTGAGGTTAGATTAAATACTCGTTTATTTTAATAGGAAAATAGAGGTACAAGAACCTACTTCATTATTAACAGACCAGGGGTACCAAGATTTCTTCACCGGAAGTTTCATTGAGGCAATAGAGTCTTTGGTGGAAGTAATGGGTACTCTCCCATCCGTGTCACCACTAAAACCAATATTGTAGTTAATTATAATACTGATAATTATTATCATTTTCTCAATAAGTATGAATTATTATTAAATTACCTAAAAACCCAGACTCTTAATCCATTGTCCATGAACTCTTGGAGTAGAGGAATAACAGTGGAAGGACTATCGGACCACCCGTTTATGACATCACTACAAGGCTCCCAATCGTGCGTAAGCTTTGTCACGTTGGCATGCATTGCCCATTGAACCTCTGCCTGGTTCAAGTACGCATTTGTGTAGGAATTACTGCAAGGATCGTAGTTCATCACTGACGCTTTCTTTGGCAGATGTGTTAGGCTACTGTTCAAACATAGTGGATAGTAGATGTTGTAAACATCAATCATTCTCATGTTGGAGTAAGCTATATTCGACAACGCTATGCACTGCGAGTTCTGTTCCATCACGTTTGGTGAGAAGTCACAGTACTTCTTTATGTCGTTGGCAGTTTGGTCGGCAATTAGTGCATGGGATGCGAAGAAATCATACCTTCCAATTTCATCCGTCTCGTCATTGATCACTGCATTTCCAATCTAAAATAACAAATAAGAAAATACAAGTCCAAATTAATGTTCCCATCGGAGAGAGAAAGAGGTATACTTACAATAATACCCTTGAGGTTGACGATCGTCTTTCCAGCCTTCTTATTATGTGAGAGAAGGACGTGAGCTAGCTGAGGGACGTAATGACCTGCGTAACTCTCACCAGAGATATAGAAATCTCGATCCTTATACTCTGGGAACCTCTCCAACCAATTCACCAAAAAAGCATAGTTGTCGATTGCCGTATTCTTGTCTCCATTGTTTTGGTAATCAGATGTAGTATTGGAGTACGAGAATCCCACTCCGGCGGGTGATTCCAAAAACAACACATTCGCAACTAGCAAGTATAGATAAAATTTTCAAACAAATATAAAAATTTGGAGGCACAATTAATAATTTAACTATGAAATTCTATAAATGTTTAAACAATTAGCACCGTGAATCCATGAGAATCTGTTGTGGAAGAGGGTTTTGCCATCGCTACGAGGGCGGAAGGGACCGAGTTCAGCCATGGCTCCAAAAGCAAGAGACGAACACCCAGGCCCTACGCAGCCAATCATTTATCAACACGTGTAATCTGATTTTACTTTTAAAATAATATTTAAAAAAAAATCACTTAAATCCAGGTCGCCGGCGTACCTCCGTTGAGCCATAGAAGAAGCGGCAACGAGGTCTTGTTTTGAGGAGATTCAACGAAGTAGTAATAGAAAGCACGGCCGGCGGTTTTGTTCACCGTCACGTAGCCGCCGTACTGCGATAACTCAACCCTAGGCGGTTGTCCTGGCAGCCGTTCGATTTTGTCCTGCTGTTTCCGTCCGGCCTGATCGTGAATCTCGACCGTCGGCAAAACCTCGGTGTTTTGATCCGCCGCTTCGTTGCGGAAGAAAAACTCGGAGGAATCGGCGGCGTCTGAGTTCCTGAAGAACTTGGCCTTGTAGAGAGCGTCAAGAGCTTCCTTCTGATTCTTGGCGGCGATTTGAATCGCAAGGAAGAAGACGAAGAAACAGAGGAGAATCGAATGTCCGGCTGTCATTGAAGATCGCCCGTACTCTCTGATGAAATCGGAATGGAAAAGAGAGGAGTTAAATAAGGGAACAATCCCTATACTCGTACAATTTTTAGTTAAGCAAATGACCAAAATGGATAGAGAAGCTTGAAGAACGGTTTGAAGACCTTGAACGTAGGGTTTGATAAAAATACCCAAAACTGAAAATAACCAATTAATTTGTTATGTCACTGCCAATCACGTTGCGCCATGTCTCACCTAAACTAATTTAATTATATCTCCACTAATTAAAATTAAAATTATTAATTTTATCACAGAATTAAATCTTCTCCTTTAAGAAATATATTTTATAAATATCTTACCGTATTATAACACAAAATTTTATTATTATTATAATAATTATCTCAATCGACTTACCTAAACTAATTTAATTATATTTCTATCAATTAATATTATAATTCATTATTTTGTTAGAAAAATTGAATCTTCAACTTAAAAAAAATATTAATACAAAATTTTATTATTATTATCGTAATTATCTCTCTTATTATAATATAAGAACGACGGAGTCGGTGAATATTTATATAATTATTATTAAATTGTTATAAAATTTTAATAGGTAATTGATTTTTTTTAGTGATACAAAAATAAGGACTATTTATGTTTTTTAAAATAAATAAATAAATTATTAATAAGTTTTTATAAAATATTTATTTGAATTTCGAATATTTAAATTATTTGTAGAAAGTAGAGAATGACACGTAAGCAATATTATTTAAAATTTTAATTAAAAAAACAAAACAAAATGGTCAAATATTTTCTTACTGTCTTGGGCTTTAAGCCAGAGAGAACGCGGATTTCGCCATTGAAGCTTCCTCTTCGTCTTCCTCTTCCTCTGGCCGCCTTCTATAAAAGCTCTGAAACTCAACACCCCGCCATTGTTGAAGCTTAAAACAGCAAGCGCCCTTCTGGGTTCTGCAAATTCCAGCTCTCTTAAGATGCTCCTTTTGCTTCAAACCTTCAATAAGCTCTGTTCCAAGCTCCACGATCGCCATGGCCGCCATGGATGTAAAGCTTCTTCCTCCGTTTCTTGTCTTCAAGCTATGGAGGACGATGTGTCGTCTTGCTTGAATCAATTTTTATTGTCGAGTTCCGATTTGGAACTGTTGTCGTTTTCTTGGCTTCTTCAGCTTCTTCAGGCTCTGCCGATCCTCCATCAGGCGTTTGCGAAATTGGTTTTTAATTTGGAGCACCCCGTTGGAAAATGGGGCGCCCATTTGGTTGATGGGTATTTGAATTATAGTCTCAATTTGCTTGATCTTCTAAATTCCATCAGTTTTTCTTTATCCCAATTGGGGGAATCTCGGGTTTCTGTTTCTTATGCGTTGAGCTTAATTCAGAGCTCCCCTTCAATGGCGGTTTCTCGTCTGGAACCGATTGTTCCGATGAAGGGTTTTGAAAGATTGGTGATCGGAGGAACTGTGGGAGATCAGAAGAAGGGTGGCTCCGGGAAGGAGTGGGCGGTCGAGAAAGCTTTGGCAACAATGGAGGGAATTGGGTATTGGATTTGTGGGGTTGTGCTTTCTGGTTGTGAGGGAGATTCGACGGCGTATTTGGAGATGAGAAAACTAGCTGCCGGTGTGGCGATTCCGGCGTTTAAGGCATTGGATTCTGTGATCTTGGCGGTGGTTTCAAGGAAGGGGAGTGTGCCGGAGGAGGTCCGGGAGGTGAACAGTGCGGCGGCGGAGATCATCGGTAGCGGCGAGGCGGCGGAAGAGATGAGGAGGAGATTGGGGAGGTTGGAGAAGGCGGTGGAGAGATTGGGGAAGGAGGTGGATGAGAGATTCTCGGAGGTTCTCGACGGAAGAAGCCGATTGCTTGATGTTTTCAGACATTCCTAAGCATTGAAGTGAAGATTTTATGAAGTTTTTTTTTCCCCTCAAAATTCAATTAAGTTTAATTATGTATTGGAAATCTATCTAATTCCTATATTTACGAGCGAAAAAATGATAAATAATACACATTTATCCCCACTTTGAAAATAAAATTGAAATTAAGAAATTTTTATCGTATGGCACAATGTCATTTATCTCATTTATCGTATCGAATATATAAAGCTAATCCTAAATCTAGTTGTAATGATCTATAGACATGTATCATCTTTAACTTTCGTATATCGTCAAAAGAGATATGGAGTCCAAAGGGTAGGGGGTTTTTCTTCGGGGCTCGAGAGAGAGAATAGATATGACCCCACAAGTTGAGAATTTGCCGCCGTGGAATTCACACAAAAGGGAACGAGGAATGATCAATGAAAAAAGTGCTCTTTGAATCGAACGTGAAAGTTGTTTTCTATCAGACGGCTGTTTCCGTAACTCCACTCTCGACTTGGATTATATATCCAAAAAGGTCCGCTCTCGGCTATTCCACACGCTGAACGAGGAAGAAAAATAGAGGGAAAATAGACGAACACATCCAAAAAAGTGGGAATAGCATCAAAAGATCCCATCAAAACAGCACCCCTATTGTTCAAATGCTCAATAACGTTTACGTGTGGCCCAAGTTTACCTGTTTGAGGTGCTCAAACAAGCACACCCACCCAAGAAACATGGCACAAAGAACATGGCCAATGCATAATCATAATCGATTAGGCATTGGTTGAATAGCCACCCAATTGCATGCAAGAAGCCCCTCTATGTATTAGTTTTAATGTTGTTTTATGTCTATTAATTCTCCTTCTTTTCAAGGAACATCGTTTTACAACAACAATGCATATTCAAGCTTGTAAAATAGGATGGATGCAAATGATAAAAGGTATTGTAAGGTACCTTCTTTGTTCCTATAACACATCTGCGCTCAATGGATACGGGGCTATGTTATTAAGATCCGAGTCGTCCATCTTTTGACACACGTATATGAAGTGAGAATCTGGGTCTTCTATGACAAAACTCGGCAACAGCAAGCCGTTGTCGGTCAGAGGCACTGGCTCTAGATATGGTTTCTCTGGTGTGTTACAACCTTCCGGCCTTTGGAATCCTGGCCTTGCTGTACAAAGTAAAGAATGACAACTGAGAAGGATCTATATGTCCAAATTCCATAGAACTGAAAACAAGGGACTAAGAAAAGTACGTCAAATGACGTAGAGTGTTAGGAACCACAAACCTCTACAATGGTATGATATTGTCCACTTTAAAACTAAGTTCTCATGACTTTGCTTTTGGTTTCTCCAAAAGGCCTCAACTAATAGACATATATTTCTTACTTATAAACTCATGATCAACCCCTTAATTAGTCGATGTGGGACTCTCTCCTAACAATCCTTAACATATAATAAGATAAAACTATCTTGTTACGTATATTACCAGGAATGAATGAAAGAAATAGAAGCAAAATGAATGTGATGTTTTGGTTTCAACATAACTGGTAATAGTCCAAAAGAACATAATGCCATCCATGAAAGGAGCGCATCCAAGAGCCCCAATCACATAGCAAGGGAGCCAATTTTCCAGCTCACCCGCTGGGAAAGCTAACCAGGGAACAGTAGCATCCTTTCTTCCAATAAATACCACTTCGAAGAAGTATGCCCTTCTATCTAGTCAGTCTATAAATGATCTAGTTTTCTCGGCTGTGAAAACACAGCCTCGAGAAAGCAACGGCACACCCGTTACACGTAATAGCAATATGGCTTGAATTTACATATGTTAAAGAGTTTTGTTTCATTTTTTCTTGTGTGTGTGTTGGGGGGAGGGAAGGTCCTAGAGAGTAGTGGGGCAGGTACAAGAGATTCTGTGAGATCCCACATCAATTTGGGAGAGTAGAATGAAGCATTCTTTATAAGGATATGGAAACCTTTTCCTAGCATACGCATTTTAAAACCTTGAGCGGAAGCCCGAAAAGAAAAACCCAAAGAGGACAATATCTGCTAGAAGTGAACTTGGGCTGTTACAAATTCAAAGGTAAGCAAAGAGATCGTATCAATCAATTAGTTTCCAACTTGAAAAAGAAGGCCCTACGTTGAGTAATAACATTCATAATTCATGTTCAGAGCTTTCAACAGGAGTGAGTTCTTGTAAATCTAATATTAGACTTCTATCTTCAGAAGTTGACTGAGGTTTCAAAAAAAAAAAAATTTGTTTTTCAGCATAGATATGGTCTGAAAAAAAACCAGGAAGCAAATAAACATCCAAAGAAGACCTGTATCAATTAGAGACCCGAAAATAAGAAGGATCAGTTCGGTGAGAGGATGATAAAGAACTCACGGATTATAAACAACGCTATCTTCCAATTGTACGAAGGTCGCATCAAATAGGGCATCCTAGCTTTCGGGTCCCCATATGTGATCTGTAAACGACCAATTTTGATTATTTTACTGCAAACAGAACATTAAAAAGCAAAGCCTCATGAGAGATAAAAGATGGTTACCAGTAAATAGACTCCTCCAGGTTTAAGAAGCCTATAGAATTAACAGCCAAAAATTAGTGGAGAAATGTAAAACCGAAAGACCAGAATCTACGCTAGTCGATCGATGTTATGAAGTTCATAAAGTCCACAACCTACTCACTTCTCCCAGCATTTTAGCTGCACTAATTGAAGCATCAGTGCCACACTATGTACACGCAATTAACGAATTAGAACGCGGGAAAAAATAGTGAATAACATGCATTAGAAATATGGAAAGCTCACATACCATCAATGCATCAAGTGTCCCTATATCAAGAACCACGAGGCCACGAGGCATTGAAAGATCAACACATAGAGCAAACTTCAGTATTAAAGACTGGGAACTTTGATGGTGTGTAAAATGAAGATTAAGAACTCATACCTTTATCAACGACAGCATCGAATTTCTCGTCTGGGAAAAAGCTCATGTCTCGGACATCCATTTCCATGTCTATACAGATTTGTCAAGGGAACTCGTAGGAGAAAAACATAATTTAGCTAAAAAACGGGAATACAACGACCACGACAACCATTTGAGAGGACCGTCTCTCCTACACTTTAACCATACCCGAGTATTTATGATTCAATTCAACAAACTTATCAATAATAATGGCCATAATAAGAATTCTGTCAACACAAACAACTTGAGGGCTACTCTGAAACCAAAACAAACCATTTATGGTAATTTAACTAAGCTGCAAGAAGAATTCTGTCAACATAAACAACTTGAGGGCTATTCTGAAATCAAAATAAACCATTTATGATAATTTAACTAAGTTGCAAGCTTCAGAGGATACATTTCAACTGGGGGATGAACTGATGTTTTCTTCTCATTATGTCGACTGCCACCGAAGAAATGTCAACATTCATTATGTCTTCATATCCATCATTGACCATATCCTCTGACATGACTACAAGTACAAAAGATGCAACGGTTAAAATCAATGTTTTATGAAGAAGCAGACAACAATTGGGTCATATTTAATGTGCCAAAGCTCTTTACTACACTGCATCAGTTGTCAATTTCTTCAGGGTATCGTTTCCAATCTGCAGATTAATCATCAAACAAAATATGACACTGTTCATGCTTTCATCTCTCAAATAAGTTGATTTATCCAAACACTAAGCTACTTCAGTTCAAGAATGATTCTCTCAGAGCCAATTTCCGTGAGAATCGGACCGGATTAACACCAAAACAATTGAATACTAAACCCAAGTGTTCAAGTTCATTCCTGACTATGAATTCTCAGTAGCAAAATTCCAAGATAGCTCCGAGATTCAATTTTCTCGTACGCTAAACCGCCTAAATCGCTCAATGTGATGAACTTAAAATCCACCAAAATTTGAATGCATCGAAGATCCGTTCCGATTTCAACTTCCAATACCTCCACGAGAACTATTCTAATCTCAAAAGAAAATGAAACTGGAAAATGGCAGAAAGGAGAAGGGAGTTACCAGCATTACCACAGCCGACCATAAGTACGGAGGCGGAAGTGCTGATGAACTTACGAACGAAGGGACGAAGAGCAGCATAACGCTGGTACCAATCAAAAGAATCAGCCTCCTGCTGGTAACGAGCGTCCCAGTAGACAGCATCGCCGTAGTCGTAGGTGTTGCAGCTCGACGCGTCCCTGTTCATCTCTTCACCTACGGCCGCCTCCGCCGGAAAATTTCACAGCGGCAAGAAGACGATGAGAGCTTGAATACGCCGGCGGCGGTTGTTTGGTGGTTCCGGTGAACTGGTAAAAAAACCTTTGGTTGGGTTATAGAGAGAGAGGAACGGGGAAGTCGGCTGAACTCTGGTCCGGATGGGATCGAGAGCGCGTGGTGAGTGCGCGTAGAGAAATGCGCGTGAGCTTAGAAGTCGAGAGGTAATTCAAACCAAAGTAATTATTTAAAATATTATTTCTCCATAAAATCAAAGCAAAGCAATGAGCCGTACGTCTTCTCCGCATGAACTTCCACGTACAGCTCCTTCTTCTTCCATGGCAGTTGGCACTCTCCTTCCTTCCCCACGTGTGCCCTAGCCGCCGCCATTCTTTCCCCTTTTAAACCAACCACCGTCAACGCTCTTCTCCACTCCTTCGCTTCTGTTCAACGCCGCTACACATGGAAAAAGAGATCGCAGATCGGAAGGCCACCGTCATCAATGAAGTCCAAGAAAACAACGACGGAGAATCCGAAGAAATTACCGAGAGAGAGAGTACAAGAAAGGAGGAAGAGCATCCACTTCCACTGATGGCGCTCAATCACGTCTCCAGAGTGTGCAGAAGCGTCAAGGATTCCGTCGATTTCTACACCAAGGTCCTAGGGTTTGTCCTGATCGAGAGGCCGCAGAGCTTCGATTTCGAAGGCGCTTGGTTATTCAACTACGGCGTTGGGATTCACTTGATGCAATCCGAGGACGAAGATAATGGAGTTCGTCAAGGCGATAAGGACCATCTGGATCCGTTGGACAACCACATCTCGTTTCAGGTCAGTTTCTGAATTAAAAAATCGCGAAGAAAAGTTTGAATACATTTTAGATTTTTGTTTCTTGACATTGAAGTGTGGCAGTGCGAAGATATGGAAGCCATGGAGGAGAGATTGAAGGAATTGGGAGTGAAATACATGAGGAGAACGTTGGACGAGGAGAATGGAGAATTGATCGAACAGCTTTTCTTCAACGATCCTGACGGATTCATGATCGAGATCTGCAACTGCGAGAATCTGAAGGTGGTTCCGGCGGGTTCATCCGGCAGGATCAGGCTTCCGGCCGGTCGCCACAACCCTCCATTGGAATCGAATGGACAGAAATAGTTTGGACATTTTGGATATAGAATTATGGAGAGAATTAGTTTTTTACTGTTTTTCTCATTCATAATCTTATCCTGCAAAATCTAAAATGCTTCCTACTTTCTTGCCAATGTTTTTTTTTTTTTTTTACTTTGAATTTTTAATCAAATTTTGTAAACTAAAACTAAGTTTTTTTGAAATTTCTTCGTTTGGATTTTAAAAAATTAATAAGTTATCTGGTTATTAAATAAAATTAAATATCTTAGTCGGAGAGATAAAATTGAACTTGAAAATTTTGCTTTTATTTCAAATGTTTTTGTTAGACTACTCTCAATAATTTATTGAGAACGATCTCATCTCCAATCAAAGGTTTTGTATTATATATCATCTTGAATTGAAAGGTTTTGTGTTATATATCGTTCGCGATTTCATCTCGAATTTTAATATCATAATAGCTATAATAGCTTCTAAAATTCTATTCGGTTCAGTCCTAAATCGAAAGATTTTTCATGTAATATATTGTTTACGACAATCTTTTTATACAATTTTGATTCATAATAGCCTACAAAATCTTGATTTGGGTTGATTTTAGTATGAATTTTTTTTTGTTCATACATTCACGGTCCTTCTATCAAAATATTTTTCATGTTATATACTACCAATGGTTCTCTCTCTAATCAATCTTAATATTATAATAGTTTATAGAGTCTTGATTCAATTCTAGAGTGTTTTTTATTCTAATACATTAAAATTGGTAGAAGATGGTCGAGAAATTTCGATCTTTTAAGCTAAAAAATAGTGTGCACATAATCAAATATTTTGGTAACTCTAGGGACGAGATGAAGGAAGAAAACATTGTGGGGTTCTTTTTCACTTGAAAGAGTTTCATTTATGGTAAGTATTTTTCGTCCTTCTTTTAAGACAAAGGGCATCTCGATCCTTCTTAAAAGAAGCTCTATCTTAATCGAAAGGTTTTTCGTGTTACACGTCCGGTCATCATTCGGTTCTTTCAACTCAATTCTAGAAAAGAGTGAACCACACTAGTAGCTGTTTTCTGTTCAAGAAGTCATATTGCCAATCTCTTTTCCTTTCTTTTCTAACCCTTTCTTACATGTTGTTCTGTACAAAATGGGAAAAAAGGAGTTTCTTTTGGGTTTCTTACAACGCAAGGCATAGCTTAAAGAAAACAAACATTCTTTCTAATTGTTAGGCTTTGACTCTTGCAGTTTTGAATAAAGAGGTTATCATCCGTTCCACAACCGAAGAAGTGGATCCATACAATCGGACAGACACCGACTTCTTTGATCCTTCTCGTGCAAACTCCAAATCCTTCACAACGTTGGCGTCTCCAATGCTGTCTGGTTCCCCCACCAGAGGCAACGCCACTGAGCCTTCTGTCTCTAAGTTCTTTATCCACCCACGTAGTAAGAAGTTCACAACCTGTTATAACAAACCCTACTTTCAGTGTTCTTCAAACTAAAATCTCCCAAACCCACAAAAATTCATCCAAAGGTCTCTTTTATTAAAAATCAGCAAGGCCTTATGTCAGTAACTTTGGCATTGTTTTGGATCAGTTCTGTTTAATAGATGACTGAATATCTCGAACATAAGAATCTTATATTAACTAGTTTGGAGATCGCTCGAGGAATAAGCAAGCTATGCTTGTAAGATCCTACATCAATTGGAGAAGAGAACGAAATGTTCCTTATAAAGGTGTGAAAAACCCTCTCTAACATACACGTTTTAAAACTGTGAGGTTGACGGCGATACCTAATGAGCCAAAGTGGACAATATCTATTAGTGGTAGGCTTGGACTGTTACGAATGATATCAAAACCAGACATTGGGCAGTGTGCTAGTGAAGACGTTGGACCGCGATGAGAGTGGATTGTGAGATCCTACATTGACTAAAGGGGAAATGAAGCATTCCTTATAAGGGTGTGGAAACCTCCATTCCCGTATAAGGGTGTGGAAACCTCTCCCTAGTAGATACATTTTAAACCGTGAGGCTAACAGCGACATGTAACGGACCAAAGTAGACAATATCGACTAGTGGTGAGCTTGAGCTATTACAAAGTTCTATATTGGTTTTCGGAGTCTTCACATGAATGACAATATCTGCTGGCAATTGGTTGGCAATTGGTGGGCTTGGGCCTGGGCGGTTACAAAGCTCTATTTTAGTTTTCGGACTCTTAATATGAATTCGACCGAACATAAACCTAGAGTTAAGGACACCCACCGACAACGACAAAGGAAGATACAAGGAAATGGCGATCCTCATTCTTTAGTTACCAAATGCCCTTTCCCTAAAGCGTTTTCTTTCTCGGGTCAGATTCGGTTGCGGTTTTTTTGTATTTCTCTTCTGTAAACTTCTCACATGCATTTAAGAAAGAAGTATACCTCAGGGACTTCATCATGGGGACAATGGCCAGCAGGGCTAATCTCATAATATGGAGCCTCAGGCACTCGCCTTTTCACCTGAAGCCCCCAAACAGGTTTCACCCATGGGTCTTCTTTTCCATATATCAGACAAACTGGCACTGAATTCGTATGGCATCTAAGCAAAACAAACAAACAAACAAACAAATCTAAGCCAAAACAGGACAGGTAAAGAATTTGAATCTTAATATCAAAATTATGTTCCACCTTGATAAAGCTTCCCAAAATGATAGCTTCCCCTGAGGAGCAAACATAATTGATGCAAACGATGCAGCTGCAGCTGGATGCTGTGTTGTTTCCACGATACGACAAAACACATCGTCGACATTCGTCGTGTGATCTGCGTAGACTTGCCTGAGGATGTCTCCGATGCTCTCGGGGTCGCTTATTTTCTGCCAACTGATATCGAACGGAGTGTGAAGAGAACAGATATAAAGATATTCAACACTTCATTGAATGATTAATGAACTTACACGAATTTTGTGAGCTTTCTCACACTGTCTGGTAATGGAAACTTTCCACTCCAAGGGAATATTTTGGCTAATCTTGGTGATCTTATAGGATTAGGAAAGAATCCCCAGAATGGTGTTGCATTTAGCAACGTAACACCCTTTACTAGTTCAGGATTGCAGGCTGCAAAGTATAATGCCACAAACCCTCCAAGGGAATTGCCCACAATGTAGACTGGCTCACCAATGACCTGCAATGATCATTTGGGATATCAATATGATTTTCAATGTCAGCTTTAAGCAGTCACAATGAGAAGAGATGCTTCTTTTACGGATTAGTTTGTATAGCCTAAAGTTGGAAAATCTGTAGCATGTATATAACGGTCCAAGCTCACTGCTAGTAGATATTGTCCGCTTTGGTTTATTACATATTGTCATCAGCCTCACGGTTTTAAAACGCGTCTACTAGGGAGAGGTTTCCACACCCTTATAAGGAATGCTTCATTCTCCTCTCTAACCAATGTGGGATCTCACAATTCACCCCCTTAGAGTCCCAGCATCCTCGCTGGCACACCATCCGGTGTCCGACTCTGATACCATTTGTAATAGTCCAAGTCCACCACTAGCAAACATTGTCCGTTTTGGCTCGTTACATATTGTCATCAGCCTCACAGTTTTGCAATGCACCTACTAGGGGGAGGTTTCCACACCCTTATAAGGAATGTCATTCTCCTCTCTAACTAACGTGGGATCTCACACTTCACCCCCTTGGGGTCCCAGCATCCTTGCTGGCACACCACCCAGTCTGGCTCTGATACCATTTGTAACAATCCAAGCCCATCACTAGCAGACATTGTCCGTTTTGGCTCATTACATATTGTCATCAGCCTCACAGTTTTGAAATGCACCTACTAGGGAGAGGTTTTCACACCCTTATAAGGAATGCTTTGTTCTCCTCTCCGACCAATGTGAGATCTCACAAAAGCCTGAAAATATGTTCAGTAGCCCTTGTTTGACTTGTAGATTAGTGTAAAAACTAGTGTAACTAGATTGTTTTGTGAGATCCCACGTTGGTGGGGGAAGGGAACGAGTGTCAGCAAGGACGCTAGACCCCA